TGATGACTCTCGGAGGGACGTTCACAATCCTTTTGGAATTGCTAGCCTTGTGTTGTTGAACCAGGAGTAAGAACCACTGGAGCTCCCATGCATGCATTCCAGCCCAGGAAACTACCACAATGCACGAGACCAGCTTCCCGAGAACGTCCCCTGGACGTCCTGATGCGTCGAGCAAGGGATGTAATGCTGTCCGCTCATTGCTGCACAAGGAAGATCTTGCAAATGTTGGAGTCGATCACCATGCCCACATATTGAATTCTGGAGGTTGGAGTCAGGTGACTTGTCTCCCGGTTGACGGAAAAGCCATGCCGTTCGAGGGTGCGCATGGTGAGATTGAGTTCCCGATGTCCTTGTGGAACAGACGACGACAGCAGGAGTATGTCGTCCAGGTAGTAAACGAGTCATACAGATCAGGATCGGAGATTTGCTGTGACTGCGGCCAGGAGTTTTGTGAATGTCCTTGGGGCCGATGAGAGGCCGAAAAGGCCCTACACTGGTAATGATGGTCTGCAAACTGGAACTTCAAGAACTGGCAATGTGCTGGGTGTATGGCGATGTGCAGGCATGCCTCCTTCAAGTTGATCGATGTCATGAGATCGCCCTGCCTGATGCAACTTAAGATGGTCTGGAGCGATTGCATCTTGAAGCGCCTGTACACTAGGTGGATGTTGAGTTTCTTGAGGTCCAGTATTGCTCTTACCCCCCTCCCCCCGATGCTTTGGGGGCCAGGAAGAGGATCGAGTAAAACTCCCTGCCCTCCTGACCCAGGGGTACCTGCTTGATGGCCGCTATCTCCAGTAAATGTCTGATCTCCGCCTGCATCAGCTGGTGCTTGAGGGATGATTTTGGAAGAGGATAGCAGACAAATGTCCGTGGGGCATCGAGAGGAATTCTAGGGTCAGACCGTACCGAACCGTGTTCCGAACCCAAGCATCCATTGTCATCTCCTTCCATTGGTCGGCATACAACTGTAACAACCCCCAATGGGAGGGGACCGGTGATGGTCACTTAGTCTGCTGAAAGGAGTGGTTGGAATACCCCCCCCCCCAGAAGGCTCTGTGGTTCCCCTACAGCATATTCTTGTCCCTGAACGAAGACCTCTCATGGGAGCAGTCCTGCGTCTGGGCGTAAAGTCTGGTGTATCCCCCTGAGGAAGAAGGGGTGTCAGCATTACAAAAGGGCTGGCTACGAAAAAACAACTGTCCCTTCTGGTCCGGCTTTTTGGTAACAGCCTGCAAGACCTTGCGCTTATCCTTGGACTCAATTAAAACCGAGTCCAAGGCCTCCCCAAAAAGCTTGCCACCTTTTAATGGGGCAGAAGCAAGCTTCCACTTTGCCTTCATGTCCGCCTGCCAGTGACGAAGCCACAGCAGGCGACACGAGGTCACATTGGAGGCAAGGGCTCTGAGAATTTGGTGGCGTTAAGCTAAACATCGGCCGAATACTCGATCCCTGCAATTATTTTTGTTAACATCTTGGTGCGACCTAATGTCGCCAGCTGGGAGGTTGGACAGCAATTTGCACAGCCAAAATAGGGCCGCCCTACTGAAGTAGGAAGAGGAGGAGGAAGCCTTCATGGCCCACACTGTGGCAAATGAGGCCTTCTCCGCCCTCTTATCCTGTTTTGAGTCCTTCCAGCAGATCAGCTGGGAGGACCAAATTCGAGGTTAGGGCCACAATGGGGTCATCAACCTGGGGAAGCTTCAGGAGATCCTCTATGCCAGCTTCCATAGAATAAAGCTTCTTATGCACCCCACTGGGATTAGCCATGGAGCCCGGCTGGGCCCATTGGCATTGTATAAAGTCCAGCAATAATTGGGGAGCTAGGACCAGCTCCTGAGGAGGGGTGGTCTCCTTGAACAGCCCAGCACCTAGATCCTGAGATCCAGCAGTTGGCTTATTACCCTGTTCGGTAGAATTCTTAACAGATTGCGCGGGAAGCCCCATCTGAATAGAGGCCCTAGCCTTGGTAAGAATGGCCCGAAACATAGAAGGCTTGAATAACCCCAAGAAGGTGGGAATGTCAGGGGCCAGATTCTTGTCCTCCGACAAATCTGGGGCATCCTGACCACCCTCCTCCTTGTCAGATGCTTCGCTGATGGCTGAGGAGGCAGGAGGGGAGACCCTGCCCTCTTGCTATGGGGGATTAGCAACACTCGCTTTGGCTTTGGCTCGGCCTGGGAGAGGTAAGGTAAGGCCCAATTGCTGGATACCATCAGCAATCCCCTGAGAGATAGCCCTTGCAATCACCTCCTTCATAGCTGGGGATAGCTCAGGAGTGGAATCTTGGTTCTGGGGCAAATCCCTAGCTATAGCACCAGGAGGAGGAATTCTCTTTTCCAACAGGGAACAAGCCTCCTCCATGTATTCCTCCTCTAGAGATGAGGCTAAGAACCTGGGAGATGCCCTAGAGGGGTTAGGGGAGAACCCTAACCCCTCCTCTACTACAGATGGAGATTCTTCTGGTGGAAGATCTAAAATGGAGGGATTAGCAGGAGCCTCGGCAGGCACAGCGAGATCCTTTTCAAGCCCCTGGTTGCTCTGAGCCTTCTGAAATTGCTTTTCTAGGGCTCTCTGGCACCTCTCAGCCAGCCTTTCTTCTGCCCTGGACACCTTTCTTGGCTGTTTGCCTTTAGTTGGGCATGCTGCACTAACACCCTTGGCCGTAGGATTGGGCCTGCTGTGCTTACTGATGATAGGTCCTGCCTGCTCTGCAACCTTCTCCACACCTTTGCTGGCCATGATGGAACTTCCAGTCCCCAAACATCATTATCCAGAAAGGGTTTGGAGAAAATGGAGACCCAAGTTGTAATGAAATCGTGAGGCAACAGCTCCGGCAGGTGATGCAGCAACAAAATGGCGCCAAGAAAAAGCTCTTACAGCGCTTGCAGATCCGCGCTGGTAATATGAAGATAGGGAATGGCCTGGAAAGCCAAACTCCCTGTAGCTGCCAATCAAGGTCTTCAGAGGAAGGGGAGGCCTGCCTGGAGACCCAGAGCAAGGCCACTTGAGCAACACCCCTCCCAGCGGCTGATCTGCTAAGGGACCAGGCTGCAGCACAGAAAAGAGAAAAAAGCGGCTTGGATTTAAAGCGCACACTTCTTTTCTCTTCCAAAATGGCCATCGCAAGTTTGGAGCAACACCGGGCTGCCGTTGGTGATCCGGAGTGCTCAGTAGAGCCTCCGGGACTAAGAGGGTCCTCCGACGGTTCACAGGGGCTCCTGACTCTCCTACCTGGACCCTAGGCTTGCCAGTAACCGCTGATGAGCCTCTCAGTGCTGTCGGAACCACATGGACGCACGAGAGGCTGGAACACTCCAAACAGCCTGATCCGTGCTGAGGAAGGTTAATTAGGCAAAATAACTTCTTTCAAGGGTAAAACAATAAACCTAGGTCTAACTAAGGCTACAACTGTGAAAACAAAAGGCTACACTAAACTAAGTAGGAGAAATCCAGCTTGATATCCAAGGACTGGAAATCCCCAATACATGAAATTATACGCCCCTCAGAGAGGGTCCGCAATTTGGGAGTCCTCCTGGATCCCCAGCTGACTTTAGAACACCATTTGTCGGCTGTGACCAGGGGGACGTTTGCCCAGGTTCACCTGGTGCACCAATTGCGACCCTACCTGGATCGGGAGACCCTTCAGACAGTCACTCACGCCCTTGTGACCTCAAGACTGAATTATTGTAACGCACTCTACATGGAGCTGCCCTTGAAGAGTGTTTGAAGACTTCAGTTAGTCCAGAACGCGGCCGCGCGAGCGATTGTGGGTGCACCCAGATACACCCATGTCACACTTATCCTCCGCGAGCTGCACTGGCTACCCATTAGTCTCTGGACCCGCTTCAAGGTGCTGGTCGTCACCTATAAAGCCCTACATGGCATCGGACCTGGGTACCTGAGAGACCGTCTCCTGCCGATTACCTCCCATAGACCGATTAGATCTCACAGGTTAGGTCTCCTCCGGATTCCATCTGCCAGCCAATGTCGGCTGGCGACTCCCCGCCTTCTCTGTTGCAGCTCCAGCCCTTTGGAACGACCTCCCCGTGGAGATCCGGACACTTACTACCCTCCCAGCCTTCCGCAAAGCCACCAAGTCCTGGCTGCTCCAGCAGGCGGGGGGGCTTGTGAAATATCCAGCCCCACGGTAACTGTGAATGTTGCGTATTTTAAGGTGTTGTCTTGTTTATTTATCCCCTTCCCTTGTTTATTGTAAGCCGCCTGGAGTCCTTCGGGAGTGGGCGGCATACAAGATCAATAAACTCAACTCAACCTCAACTCATCCTTTTAGGGCGACTGAGTTTTTCAAACTGACCTTCAAAGAGAGGAGGAGGCGTGGCTACACTAAACATTTAAACTCAGTCCTTGGGCATCAAGCTGAAGTTAACCCATGCAGTGCCTAGGAGAATTTGCTTTCTTATTTCTTTTGATTTTTGACATACATATACAATAAATGGGTATGTAGCACCATTTACACAAAACAAGGCCCTAGTATAACATGAAATCATGTCAGAACACAAACAATCACTACCTTCTTTCTTACATGACCTTGCAATGTTAAACCTCTATCAGTAAATTTACCTACATTTCAAATTTCAATAACAAGGGAATGGAGGGAAAATTTAACAGTTGGCAGCATTATGTTCTTCTCCGATGGAAGTTTGCCAAAGTTCAAGCGACAATATGTTGCCTAGAACATTTGAGAAAATCAACACAAGGCAAATTCCTCCAATGTAAATTTCATTTAAAAAACATTTCTTTTCAACTTGTATTATGCAGTAAGATTTTAGACTACCGTATCTTGTTCTGCACAACTTTAATTTAACACATGTCCTAGAACATAAAAGTTTTTACAGTTTATTGTGGAAGAGTATAAGGGGGAAATGCTGCCTATTTTAGATAACAATTGTAACTTGAGTCACTGCAGTGTAAGGTCTGCATTTTGTATCTTTATCTGTAAGATCTGAAGCAAAAGAAAAATAAGAAAGCCTTGATACCTTCTGCACCTGGTCAGCTGGGTCCATAGAATATTAGCAGACAGAAATGGAAATGGATCAGGGAGACACCCACGCCAGAGACAGCGATGTCACCTGTAATATCAAACCTTTAACAAAAGAGAAAGGTGTTAAAGAGATTTTAAAAATAGAAAAAAGTGGGAAAATTGCAAACTAACTAACTGCTACATACTACACAACCAATAAAAAAAAATGGCAAAAAAAATTGAATATAATTTGTAGAAAATGTATACAGGGTAAAATAGGACAATCAAAATAGAAAATCAAGCTCTAAAAAATCCTAGGGCAGGGGAAAAAGAACAGTCACTTAATGAATTAGAAAGAAAAATAGTTATGATTTAAACAAAAAAAGAATTGCCAGAGCTTTATTAATTGCTAATGGGCAACTATATATTAGAGTAAGATAAAGTACACACACCTGGGTGCTTAAATGGCACTGAGGCAATATTCTGGAAGTTCTCTATGAAAATAGCAAAAATGAAAGTTTAGCAGCACTGCTTTTGACTGTTCTGAACTGAAGAAAACTAGACGGTGCTCAAAATAATATAGCCTTCCTGGGAGACACATTTAGCTCCAAAATAGAAAGAATCAGAGTCAGACTGAACAGAGAGAAGACAAAAGCAATGAGTCAACTGCAAAGTACAACATTTCAAAATACATGCACAAGAATGAAGAATTGCTTTTTTAAGATTTTTAGAATTTGAGTCAATTATTAATATAATTAAATATACCATAATTTACAGCAGGAGAAGACAAGTGGGAAATTCCTTTCTTTACAAAAGATATTCTTTTAATCTCACACATATATCCTTTCAATACAGTGAAATACAACAATCCTTCCACTCCAATATCAACAGGCAAGGCAACACTATTATGTAGCATATTATATATATATATATATATATATCTATATCTATATCTATATCTATATATCTATATCTATATCTATATCTATATATATATATATATATATATATATATATCTATATCTAGATATAGATATATAGATATATAGATATATATAGATATAGATATAGATATAGAGATAGATAGATAGATAGATAGAGAGAGATAGAGAGAGAGAGAGAGAGAGAGAGAGGGAGAGAGAGAGAGAGAGAAATATTATTTAAACAAAAGCATTTCCACTTCATAATCAATGTGCCAATCTGACAATGAAATGGATACATGCTCTCAAATTAACTCAGAGAACCAAAGTTAGAACTTGTCAAGATTCCACTTAACATAAAAATCATCAGCTCTTATTAATGACTACTGTACTATGTTAACTTCATATAAGTATATATGCAACTAAAATAATAATGCACCTATGTACAGTGGAATCAGTAGCTATATGCATGCCTGAAATCCCTAGTATCAGGAGTAGCAGAAATATATTTTTTATTTGTAAATCTTCAAGTTAAAATATCTGCAGTATTTAGATTTCGAGTTTCTGGAGTCACAGACCATAGTCTTAAATCATGCATATTAAATTCTACAGAACCATCTTCTCAATGGCTGCAATTATTATTTGGTAGCATTTGCACCAATTTTCCCACCACCACCATCAAATCCCACAGACTAGCTTTAGATCAGAGGTAGTATTCAGCAGGTTCTGACCAGCTCTGGAGAACTGGTAGCGGAAATTTTGAGTAGTTCAGAGAACTGGCAAATACCACCTCTGATTGGCCCCACTCCCATCTATCCTCTGTCTCCCGAGTCCCGGATGATCGGGAGGAAATGATGATAGAGGTAGCCATCAGAACTAGATTATAAATACATGGGGAGGGGGGGTGTCCAATATAACTTCAAGATGTCACTAAGCAATCCATCGTAAATTGAGGATTACCTGTAGTTTTATTCACCAGGAATTTCTTCACCTGGTAAATATGGCCTGTTGCAAGAACTCCTTGCACTAAGTATATGTTAATAATCACTGAATCCTGGCAGATACCACTCAACTTTCTGAGTTACAATACCAGCATTCCAAGGGACAAGGTAAGTAAGCATGCCTAGGGTAACAAAGAGTAACAGAGTGTAAGGTCCTGCCTCACCAGTCTCAAGAAAGCAGAACTCTTGAAACAATTATCATTTCAAAAGGAACTTTTATTGAAAGACAGTGATAGCAAAGGAGATGCAGTATCTGAAGTTTCCCGCTCAAAGTTTTAGGTTAAACCACTATAAGCAAAGCCTCTCCTAATGTCCAGTTCAATATCGAATCAATCTCAAGTGCAAAGATGTTTTGAGAACCTTGGTAGAAAAAATGATAACTGTTAGTTCCCAGGCACTTGGTTTCTCTTTCTCTGGTGGTGAGATAAAGCAGAGGGTTCAAAGCACATTCTTCTCTCTTTTCTTAACATAACCCGAGGCATATTCCTTTCCCCTCCCTATTTCCCACCAGGTAGAGCAAACCAAAGCAAATGAAATCCCATGCAGAGAATCTCCCCAAGTCTCCACCTCCCACTAAAATTGCAGCACCCTGATATGGAACTTTGGGACCCTGGCGCAGAGGCAATTTAGCGAAGACAGTCATAGGATTTCAGTTTTCATTTCTTATTCAACTGTCAAAAGGAACCACTTATAAAATTACTTTTTTGCTTACTTGGGGATAAAAAAGGTTGATTAGTGCACTATTGGTTTAGCAATGTAAATTAGTTATCCAATAGGAAGCTCCTGACTTAGAAAAGTAATTGTTAGCTTCTATGTAAGATAAATGATTCTTGGATTTCAGAAAATTCTCAGGCTTCTGCTGCGCCCACAACTAAACTTATGAGGTATAAGAAATCACGTCCAAGACTTTAGTTTTCAGAATAAAGGAAGCAAGGTAACTGTATGAAATTTATAAGCTTTTAGTCTTTGTCATAGTATAAAGCATAATAAAATGAAATTACCATTTCCAAATTCAGTGACAGCTGGTAGTCAAAAAGCACCCTGAAACTGCACACCTTCCCTCTCTGAACATATCTCAAATAAGCATCATTTATTTCCAGAATGTAGATTTATCTTTAACAAAAACACTTTTGTCATGTCCAGATTTAATTTCAGCTTCTTCTCCCTCATCCAGCCATTATGAAGCTTAGGCAATCAAGTAATTGCTTCCATATAGCTACAAAGGAGGCTATACTAGTATTAGGTTTCATCAGCAAAAGTTCTCATGTATATATCAAACAACACAAAGACAAGTTGGGATTCTATGAAATACTGTGTAGGACAATTATGCAGGTATCAATGAATTAAAGACCCAGTTTGATCTAGTGGTTAAGGCACCAGGCTAGAAAGCAGGCAACCATGAGTCTATGTCCCACCTTAGCCAAGAAAGCCAGCTGGATAACTTTATGCCAGTCACTCTCTTCTCAACTTAACTCCCCTCACAGGATTTCTGCTGTGGGGAAAAATGAGGAAGAAGGTATGTCGGTATGTTTATCACGTTGTGATATTTTTAAAAATAATAAATGACAGGATACAAACAAATTAATATTAAATAGAAATCACTGCTGAGGACAGAACTTTTGCATTGGACTAGAACCACTGCAAAAGAAAGTTCTCAATGTCCAGACAGTCTAGAAGGATATCCTAGTTGGAAGTATCAAAACCCACCAAGATATCCTGTTAGTTCTAACTCCCCTCTCTATTTGTAGCACAGATCATCCATCGTGATGGTCAAAGTAGTCTCAGTACCATATGTCGAAGGAAACAATGTTTGAGGTTGATCCAGAAAACTGGAATTGCGAGGACACCACTTTCCCAAACAACTTCCCCAAGAATGGAATATATGAGATTAGTCTGTAATTAGAAAATCTGAGTCAAGGAGAATTTTTAAAATAAATATGCTATAATTATTTCCTTTTAGCTAGAAGGAGCACATCATGCACTTAAAAAGGCACCTCACTTAACCATGGCCCTAGTAGCCAACCCCAAACAAGCTGGCTGAATCAGAAAGGAGGGTCAAAGGTTAATCAAGCTCTCATCTCTCTGCCTTCACAATATGGACAAGCAGAAAGAATCAATATGAATAGGTTATCCCTGATCTGCTATCCTCCACAATTCCATCTTTTACATATACTGTACAATATACAGTATATGACAGAAGTGAATACACCCCCTCACATTTTGGCTACAATATAAAGTAGTGAGTATACAGCTTGTATAAATGTAAATGTGCTGTCCCCCTCAAAATAATGCAACACACAGCCATTAATGTCTAAACTGCTGGCAACAAAAGTGAGTACGCCCCTGGTGTCATGAGATTCATTAGTGTTACAAAGTGTCAGGTGTGAAGGGAGAAAAGGTCTGTTAAATTTGGTGTTATCTCTCTCTCTCTCTCTCATACTGATCACTGGAAGTTCAACATGGCACTTCATGACAATGAACTCTCTGAGGATCTGAAAAAATCAATTGTTGCTCTACATAAAGATATACTTAAATACTTACAAAATATGAGGGGGGGTGTACTCACTTCTGTGGTATACTGTATATATTGGTACATCATTTTCAACAATTTTTGCAAGACTCTAGTACACTAATCATTTTCTCAAGTTTTTTTTTTTAAATCCAGAACAGCCAGTTCTTCTTTTCTTGAACTTAATATAGCACCTTCCTACTGTAAATCTAGTACTCAGGCTGTGGGACAAGTGTCTATTTCTATGAAAATATCACTGCAGGACAAAACTTTATTTTAGGAAGTCTGGCTAATTCCTCCTTTCACATCCTTGTTTTATGAACAAATTTTTACCTAAGCACAGTGGATCATGATTTAAGATGCTATCTTAGCTGAGTTTAGATATCATATTAAGCCAAGCAAACTCAAATTATGTGTCCTGAGCAAACTGAGGGGACTACAAATTGGGGGGAAGGGAGGCTTGAATACACAGTTATCCAAGCAAAACCTGAAGCAAATACCGACACAGTTCATTTTGTATATGCAAGCCTTTTGGCTCCCCCCCCCCGCATTGTCCAGAATAAATGCCCATCAGCCCAGATCCACAGTTTACATGTTCTCCCTACTAGTACACACCCATCTTAAAACAAGCTCCCTTTTGTCTGATTCCCTTTGCTTATTTCATTAGCAGTTATATGGAGATATGGAGGTACCAAAAAAAAAAAAAAAGACCTGTGATCCCAATGCTTAGCAACTGAGTTAGAAGGAAGCTGCATCCAAAGCAGAGGCATTAGCAGCAGTTTTGAGGGAAAGATGGGGAGAGAGCACAATGATGGCCCAGTGGCAAACAATGGACTGTCACTACATCTGATCGATTTCCTCTGCTTAGGCTGGAAAATGAGTGTTCAACCCCAATCTGATTTCTAGGAATATTAAACATTTATAACTTGAAATGCCCCATGTTTATTGTACTTCCCAATGTACTGAAGTGCATCCTTCAATTTCAGATCAAGTTTCCACAATATGATTGTTTCCCATCCTCCAAATACCTATATTTTTTCCAGTGTCAAAGGTGATATATAATC